ACTTAGAGCTATGTTTCTTGCACACTAACATACAACAGAAATGCCCAAATGCACTTTGAGTGACAGGTGCAGAAATGTCCTCTTATGAATATTTCAAAGTGCTGGCTTTAGCCTTTAAAGCCCTAAACGGTTCTGGCCCGACCTACCTGTCCGAACGTATCTCCTCCTATGAACCAGTTAGGACGTTAAGATCGTCTGGGGAGGCCCTGCTCTCGGTCCCGCCGGCTTCACAAGCACGCCTGGCGGGGACGAGACAGGGCCTTCTCGGTGGTGGCCCCTCGGCTGTGGAACGCCCTTCCCACAGATATCAGATCGGCCCCCTCCTTACTGGCATTCCGGAAGAGTGTGAAGACCTGGCTCTTCGAACAGGCATTCAACCAATCAGCGTAATTGAGTGCAATAGAATATTGGTACGGAATACTGGATAATGTACTGGACTCTTGAATTCATTGATGAGACGTGATGGTTCTATTGTTGATGTATTGATGTTTGCTGTTTAATTAACTGCTATGTTACTGCTTTTAAATGACTAGTGATTGCTATTGTGTACATTGTATTGTTTGTTGTTAACTGCACTGAGTCGCCCTAGGGCTGAGAAGTGCGGTATACAAGTGAAGTAAATAAATAAATAATAATAAATATTTGATGGTACCTGTGGTTACACTATGATCTTTCTGCCACTGCCAGTCTGAATGGCTCTATTGTTATTATTATTATTATTATTATTATTATTATTATTATTATTTAGTTTATTGATACCCAGCTTTTTCTCTCCACAAGGAGACTCAAAGCAGCTTACATTAAAAGCCTTTCAATACAATACAAAATCTACAAATATATAAACAATAAACCAGAATTAAATATCATTGGCATTACAAAAATTCAGTTGAAATCCATAAAAACCAATTCAGAACTAAAACCCCTGTTCCTATCGACCCCACCTCTTAAAGCCAAGCCCCTTTCTTTCCCTCTTGCATTGTCTCCATTGTGTGCAGTAGATTCCCACTCCTCCTTCTCCAAACCCTGATTCATCTCAACCTCTCAATTTGAGCAGAAAGAATCCAGGCTGCAATCTGGTGCATAGTTACCAGAGATTAAGCACACATTGACCAGATTTGGAGATTTATTTCCAAGCAGACAAGCGCAAGACGGCCCTATTGGAATCTGAACCTTTGGAATGACAGCGTTTGGCTTTCCTGTGCCACCATTCACACATTCCTCAGAGTCAGGCACTGAATCCATTGCATTGGCAGAGGGGGCAAGAAAAAGGGTTGCGGAAGGAAATCATTAGTTTGGACAAGGCACACAATGCCATCCAGGGCCCCAGGTGAGATGGCAGTATGTGGTTACATGTGTGTATATGAGCCATCAAGTCGCCTGATGACTTATGACAACCCTTACGACCTCACTACCTCTGAGGATGCTTGCCATAGATGCAGGCGAAACGTAAGGAGAGAATGCCTCTAGAACATGGCCATATAGCCCGAAAAAAACCTACAACAACCCAGTGATTCCGGCCATGAAAGTCTTCAACAATACCTATACATTTAAGTTTTTTAAAGACAGGGAACCATCAGAGGTAGTTTTGCCAGTGGTTTCCTCTGAAATAGGATCTACAACATATGGAATTCTTTGGTGCTCCCCATCCAAGTACTAACCAGGGCTAACCCTGCTTAGCCTCCAAGATCAGATAGAATCTGATGCCCTTGGATTTGCTTATATAGGTGATATTTTAGGCCCTTTCCACACAACTGTGTAAAATTCACATTGAACTGGATTATGAGGCAATGTGGACTCAGGTAATCCAGTTCAAAGAAGATATTGTGGATTATCTGTCTTGATATTCTGAGTTATATGGCTGTGCGGAAGGGGCCTAAGAGGAAAGAAACAGCATAATCATCTGAGTATGCCTTGCTGAGATAATGCTGGGGAAATCAAGTTGAAAACACACACTCAGGCTGGATCTACCCTGCCATATAATCCAGATTATCAGCACTGAACTGGATTATATGAGTCTACACTGCCATATAATCCAGTTCAAATCAGATAATCAGGATTTTATATTGCAATATAGATGGGGTAAATAAATAAAAGCACCCAAGCTCATACCCTGGACATTCTACAGATATATAAATCCAAATTTCCTAGTTTCCAACACAACTCACAACCTATGAGGATGCCTGCCATAGATGCAAAGGTTTCACTAATTTTGGAGGATTCCAGATTTCCAGATAAGCATGCTCAATTTGTATTGTCAAAGGCTTTCATGGCCGGAATCACTGGGTTATTGTGGTTTTTTTCAGGCTATATGGCTATGTTCTAGAGGCATTTTCTCCTGACGTTTTGCCTGCATCTATGGCAAGCATCCTCAGAGGTTGCTTGCCACAGATGCAGGTGAAACGTCAGGAGAAAATGCCTCTAGAACATGGCCATATAGCCCGAAAAAACCTACAACAACCCATTCCAAAGATATATAAATCCAAATTTCCTAGTTTCCAACAGACCTCACAACCTATGAGGATGCCTGCCATAGATGCAAGCGAAACGTCAGGAGAGAATGCTTCTAGAGTCGCCTGAGGGCTGAGAAAAGCCTGAGGGCTGAGAAAACCTTGAGAAACCGCCTTTGAGGATAAATGTTGGGAAAAGTCAAGGAGTTGCCACAAATGGACAAGCAAGTTGAACACACACATTATACACACCCTAAAATACCCTAAAGTTCCCAGATTCTGCCTGATCTTGGAAGCTAAGCAGGGCCACCCTTGGTTGGTACTTGGATGGGAGACCAGCAACCCAGACCAGGCTGTTATTGTATTTCAGAGGGAGGATCTCTGGGAGATTGAAAACAACAACCTCCATGAACCCTTTATATCTACTGAATTGGACATTGCTCTCAATAAATGTAAGAATGGCAAAGCAGCTGGCCTGGATGATCTACGGATGGAACAAATCAAGAACTTTGGTCCAAAAGCAAGGCGCTGGCTGCTGGAGCTGATGAACAACTGCACTGCATCCTGTCAGATCCCCAAAATCTGGAGGAAAGCAAGAGTCATCGCCATCTTGAAGCCAGGCAAAGACCGTAATGACCCCAAAAGCTACAGACCAATCTCCCTGTTGTGCCACCTCTACAAAGTTCTGGAGAGACATATTTTGCATAGAATTATGGAAAAAATAGACCCCTGTCTGATCCCACAGCAAGCTGGCTTCAGGAAAGTAAAAAGCTGCACGTCGCAAGTGCTGAAGCTGACTCAGCACATAAAAGATGGCTCTGAAAGGCAGCAGATCACAGGAGCTGTCTTCATAGACCTGTCAGCGGCTTATGATACTGTGAACCACCGCCTCCTCCTGAGAAAAATGTATAATATCACAAAGGACTACCACCTCACCCGCCTCATAGGAAACCTGCTACAAAACAGGAGCTTTTTTGTTGAGTTCCAGGGCCAGAGAAGCAGATGGCGGAAACAGAAGAACAGCCTGTCTCAGGGGAACGTGCTTGCTCCATCAATGTTCAACATCTACACAAATGACCAGCCACTGCCAGAAGGGACAGAGAGCTTCATCTATGCAGATGATTGTGCCATCACCGCTCAAGCAGGGAGCTTTGAGACGGTAGAACAGAAGCTCTCCGAAGCTCTAGGTGCTCTTACTGCCTATTACAGGGAAAACCAGCTGATCCCCAACCCATCTAAAACACAAACATGTGCCTTTCACCTTAAGAACAGACAAGCATCCTGAGCTCTGAGGATTACCTGGGAAGGAATCCCACTGGAGCATTGCAGCGCACCCAAACACCTGGGAGTCACTCTGGACTGTGCTCTTACCTACAAGAAGCACTGCCTGAACATCAAGCAAAAAGTGGGTGCTAGAAACAATATCATACGAAAGCTGACTGGCACAACCTGGGGATCACAACCAGATACAGTGAAGACATCTTCCCTTGAACTATGCTACTCAGCTGCTGAGTATGCATGCCCGGTGTGGAACACATCTCACCACACTAAAACAGTGGATGTGGCTCTTAATGAGACATGCTGCATTATCACGGGGTGTCTGCGCCCTACACCACTGGAGAAATTACACTGCTTAGCCAGTATTGCACCACCTGACATCCACCGGGAAGTAGCAGCCAATAGTGAAAGGACCAAGGCAGTGACATCTCCAGCTCATCCCCTGTTTGGGTATCAGCCAGCACGTCAATGACTTAAATGTAGAAATAGTTTTCTAAGATCTACAGAGACACTCGCTGGAACACCTCAGCAAGTGAGAGTCCAAAAGTGGCAGGCTCAAACCCAGAACCTCAACCAATGGCTGATACCAAATGAGAGACACACAGAGGACTGGGCGACTTGGAAGGCACCGAACAGACTGCGCTCTGGCACCACAAGATGCAGAGCCAATCTCAAGAAACGGGGCTACAAAGTGGAATCCACGACATGCGAGTGTGGAGAGGAGCAAACCACTGACCACTTGCTGCAATGGAACCTGAGCCCTGCCACATGCACAATGGAGTGGCCAGATACTGGTCAAAGGACATTTAATCAAGTACCAAACTCACAAATTTTGTATTTTGCCTGTTTGTTTGCTTTGTTCTGTTAGAAATGTAATATAATTGACTGGCTGCCCTGACACAACAAATAAATAAGAGGGAGGATGTAGCAAAAATACCTGCTTATGAATACAGAAGTGACTTGAAGGCACATGCATAAAGAGAAAGGAAGGAAGGAAGACATGTGCGACCATACAGCCCCCTCCCACTAAATGTACTGCTGCTGCAACCAATGTATACAAAGAGAGAGAGAGCTTGAGAGCTCAAGTTCAAAGACAATGCCCAACCCAGGGGCTTTGCTTGCCTGCAGCAGGACCTGATCCACTCACCAGCTGGGAGATCTGCCAAAGGAAAGCAGGAGGGAGGCGGCAGTTTAGGGCAACCGAAAAGCAGGCCCCCTCCTCCCCGCGCCCCTTCCCCAGCTCGCCTGGGGGGGGGGGGCGTGTCACCTCCTTACCTGGAGACCTCGCTCCCCCCTCTCTCGCGCGGGGACTTGGTTCCGCCCAGGGCGCCGCCTGATGCTGTCACTGGAACACCCGAGTGGAAGCTGGGCGAGACCATTCCGCTCGAAAGGGGCGTGGCTTTGAAAAGTGGGCGAGACCATTGAAGAGACAGACAGAAAGCGGTCAGTGTGTGAAAGGAGGGGGGGGGGGGGGGGGTTGGGCGAGACCATTTGCCTCGAAGAGGGGCGTCCAGGCACATATTTTGTAAACGCATGTTGGGGCAGCTGTTGATGCCCCTTTCTGCAACGCTATGTGATGCAGTTTGGACTTACATTGTATGATCAATGTACACCCATATAATGAGTCCACACTAATCATATAATGCAGATGCAAACTGCATTATGTGGCAGTGTAGATGGGACCTGAGCCAGAGTAAATGAAGACAATAATAATAATAATAATAATAATAATAACACTTTATTTAGAATCATAGAATCCTAGAGTTGGAAGAGACTTCATGGGCCATCCAGTCCAACCCTCTGCCAAGAAGCAGGAATATTGCATTTAAATCACCCCTGACAGATGGCCATCCAGCCTCTGTTTAAAAGCTTCCAAAGAAGGAGCCTCCAATGTACCCCGCTACCATCTCCCCAAGGGACTCGGTGCGGCTTACATGAGGCCAAGCCCGCAATACATCAATAAACAGAATATCAATAAAATAAAACATCAATAAACAATCAATGCAATATAAATCATAGTCACATAAACAAAACAGACAATAAGCAATAAACAGTAACGTATAAGCATTTAAAACCAAAGGCCGGGCCAAATGTGATAGATTAAAATTAAAAAATAGTGTTGATGTGAATCAGGTAGGATATAGGATTTTTAGGATTTTTAGAGAGAATGAGGGAGTGCAGTAGTAAAGTGCATTTTGAGGACATAATGCTGAGAGTTTTCCTTATTCTGGGAAGGCACACTGGAACAACCACGTTTTCAAGCTCCTCCTAAAGACTGCCAGAGTTGGGGCATGTCTGATGTCTCTGGGAAGTGAGTTCCATAGTCGAGAGGCCACCACCGAGAAGGCCCTCTCCCTCGTCCCCACCAATCGCGCCTGCGAAAGAGGCGGGAGCGTGAGCAGGGCCTTTCCAGTTGATCGAAGAGATTGTGTAGGTTCGTATACAGAAATGCGGTCATGCAGGTAGGCAGGTCCCAAACCGTTCAGGGCTTTGCAGGTAAGAACTTGCACCTTGAATTGGGACTGGAAAATTAATGGCAGCCAGTGGAGCTCCTTGAACAGCAGGGTTGACTGCTTCCTGTAAGGAGCACCAGTTAGTAACCTGGCTGCCGCCCGTTGTACCAATTGGAATTTCCAGGCCGTTTTCAAGGGCAGCCCCATGTAGAGTGCATTACAGTAGTCCAATCTGGAGGTGACTAAGGCATGGACCACCCTGGCAAGATCCGCAGCTGGCGCATGAGTCTTAATTGTGCAAAGGCCCTCCCGGCCACCGCCGACACCTGAGCTTCAAGCGTCAGTAATGAGTCCAGGAGGACACCCAGACTGCGGACCTGCAATTTCAAGGGGAGTGTAACTCCATCCAGCACAGGTTGCTACCCTATACCCCGATCCGGTTTACGATCAACCAGGAGGACCCCTGTCTTGTCAGGATTGATCTTCAGCTTGTTCCTCCTCATCCAGACAACCACAGCGGCCAGGCACCCGTCCAGCACCCCAGGGGCTTCCTTGGAGTTAGGTGGAAAAGAGTGGTAGAGTTGTGTGTCATCTGCATAGAGGTGGCACCGAATTCCAAAACTCCGGATGGCCTCTCCCAGCGGTTTCATGTAGATGTTAAAAAGCATGGGAGACAGAATGAAGCCTTGCGGGACCCCACAGGTCAAAGGCCAGGGGCCTGAGCAGGTGTCTCCCAGCTTCACCATCTGGGAACGACCCTCCAGGAAGGACCGGAACCACGCCAAAACCGTGCCTCCAAGGCCCATCCCGGAGAGACGTCCCAGAAGGATACCATGATTGATGGTATTGAAAGCTGCTGAGATATCCAAGAGAACCAACAGGGTCACACTCCCCCTGTCCAGCTCCCTGCGGAGGTCATCCACCAAGGCGACCAAAGCCGTCTCGGTGCCATGACCAGGCCTGAAGCCACTGTGACTGGTCCAGATAGTTGATGTCATCCAGGAAACATTGGAGCTGAGAGGCAACCACCCGTTGTTATTATTATTATTATTATTATTATTATTATTATTATTATCTTTATTTGTACCCTACTAGCATCTCCCAAAGGACTCGATGTGGCTTACAAAGGCCAAGGCCTCAACACACAACATAACAATACACAACTTAAAGCAAATTAAAAACAGTTAAAGCAATATTAAATAACAAGCAATAAACAATACACCAGAATACAATAAAACTGGGCCGGGCCAGAGTAATGGGTTCCAACACCTTTCCCAAGAAAGGGAGGTTGGAGATTGATCTATAATTGTTGGCCTGATAAGTGTATCATGTCCAAATTTGGTGTCAATTCGTCCAGTGTTTTTTGAGTTATGTTAATCCCACAAACAAACATTACATTTGTATTTATATAGATATTATGATTTATTGCTTATCTTATGTAGATCCAAAAGTTTCTTGGTATGTTTGCACAACACAGCTACACACTGCAGGCAGCACACAGACGTGTCACAACACACAGTTTGGAAAGCTCTGATTTAGAGAGTTACCCCCGCTGGGCTTATGCCACAATAAATGTGTCTTTAAGATTAATTTATTTTGGTTGTCACTGCACCTCTAGTAAATCTATCAGTCCCTTCACCCGAAACACTGGAGTAAAAGCAACATCTATCTTCCTTACTGGGTTGTTGTAAGGCAACATCGTCTTGCATTCAGTATACACAAATGTAGAGTCGCTCCCAGGTTTCTTCTCAGAATATTGTAGCACTCCCCAAATGAGGCAGCTAGAATTATCTGTTAAGCAATACAAAAATGAATTATTCATATATACTCATGTATAAGTCTAGTTCATGTATAAGTCAAAGGCAGGTTTAGGGGCCAAAATGATGGATTTTAATATGACCCATAGATATGTTGAGGGTCATTCAGAGATGGGTGAGCACCAATGCCATCTCAGGGATCCAGCTGCCCAAGGACATTTCCCTACCCTAGCATTCAAAAAGGCCATTCACCTTTCTACTGGCTGGCACAACCTGGGGATCACAACCAGATACAATGAAGACATCTTCCCTTGCGCTGTGCTACTCTGCTGCTGAGTATGCATGCCCAGTGTGGAACACATCTCACCACGCTAAAACAGTGGATGTAGCTCTTAATGAGACATGCTGCATTATCACAGGGTGTCTGCACCCTAAACCACTGGAGAAATTACACTGCTTAGCCATTATTGCACCACCTGACATCCGCCGGGAAGTAGCAGCCAATAGTGAAAGGACCAAGGCAGAGACATCTCCAGCATGTCAATGACTTAAATCAAGAAATAGTTTTCTGAGATCTACGGAGACACTCGCTGGAACGCCTCAGCAAGCGAGAGTCCAAAAGTGGCAGGCTCAAACCCAGAACCTCAACCAATGGCTGATACCAAATGAGAGACTCCCCCCTGGGCACACAGAGGACTGGGCGACTTGGAAGGCGCTGAACAGACTGCATTCTGGCACCACGAGATGCAGAGCCAACCTTCAGAAATGGGGCTACAAAGTGGAATCCACGACATGCGAGTGTGGAGAGGAGCAAACCACTGACCACCTGCTGCAATGCAACCTGAGCCCTGCCACATGCACAATGGAGGACCTTCTTGCAGCAACACCAGAAGCACTCCAAGTGGCCAGTTACTGGTCAAAGGACATTTAATCAACTACCAAACTCACAAATGTTGTATTTTGTCTGTTTGTTTGCTTTGTTCTGTTAGAAATGTAATATAATTGGCTGGTTGCCCTGACACGACAAATAAATAAACCTCTTTACTCAAAGAAGAAGATTGTTCTCATTTGAAATAAGCTAAGGTACAGTTAAGTTAAGGTACTGACCTTGAAGGAGCTGGGGGTGGTGACGGCCGACAGGGAGCTCTGGCGTGGGCTGGTCCATGAGATCACGAGGAGTCGGAGACGACTGAACGAATGAACAACAAAAACAACAAGGTACAGTAAATAATAACGGAACTGTCTCCTTTTCTGAATGGCAAAAAGTGAGCATTTAGTTCTGTGGGAACCTAAAAGAAGCAAAAAACTCTCTTGTCTAACCTTAAAAGCCATTACCCCTGCCATCATTTTCCTGCTCAGGAATGCAAAAAAGCCACAAGTGGCACTGAGGAGGAGAGAGTAGAGCGGGTGGATAAGTCAACCCAGGTTTCGGAGTTGATTTTTTTGATTTAAAAAATCTCTGGACAGTACTTTACTGCTATTGTGAAGAGTAAAATAATCATATTGGGAAAGGTGCTAGTATGAATACAAGTGTGTAGGCAAGGTGGCGAAGAGTAAGACACACAGCAACCTTGTTATATGCCTCAAGGAGGTGGTAAGAATAGCTCTCTAACAGGTCCCACATATTTTAAAAAATAACACAGATCTGTGAATTGGGTGGAAGTCTGAGAAAAAGGGTGGGAAGACCAAGATGCTACTGAAAAATGACAGAGGCGGGCCTCAAACTATGGATATATCTATGCTGTAGAATTAATACACTTGGATACTACTTTAACTGTTGCATATTTTGGACTAATCTTGTCTCATGATATTTATTTATTTATTTATTTACTGTCCTTGTATACCACCGTTTCTCAGCCTAACTGGCGACTCAACGCGGTTTACAACAAAATATACAGTGCACAGTATACAATTAAAACCATAAAAAACATAATACACAATATTACACGTAAATCACAATCCAATACATCTCCTAACTAAAATCGTGGTCCAATTGCATCATCCATATTACCAATCCGTAATCAACACATTCATTGCACCGAATTAACCAAATGCCTGCTTGAACATCCAAGTTTTTAGTCTTCTTCGGAATACCATCAGCGAGGAGGCTGATCTTACCTCCATGGGAAGGGCGTTCCAGAGCCGAGGGGCCACCACAGAAAAGGCCCTGTCTCTCGTCCCCGCCAGCCGCACCTGTGAAGCAGGCGGGATAGAGAGC